CGAACCCTAACCTTCAACTAACCCTAACCCGCCCGAAAACGCATCTTTGCCCGTCCAAAAATGCTCAGAAACTTTCTATTTATTTCTGCGATCTTTTCTCGACTTTTGCGGCCGGTTTGAACACATTGCTGCTCTGTCGGCGTGCACGAAGTACGGGCGCGGTGCGGTGGTGTGGGCCGCCGAGTATGGGGCACCCAGCCTGGGGCTGGTGCTGTGGCTAGCCCACGCACTAGCTGTGGCGTAAGCGTACGAATACTAGTTTTCCCCCGTACCGATACCTGCACCCGGCACAGCGTACGGGACGTATAGAATGCTTTACTTACGTTTGTCTGTGAACTGCAAGGATGCGGGTGGGGGTGCAGTGCACTTGCACCCTCGGTAGCCACCTGCTGCCTACCACCACCAGCACCAGCACCAGCACCAACACCAGCACCAGCACCAGCACCAGCACCAGCACCAGCACCACCGCCGGCACCGGGGGCGCATAGGTGCAAGGGCTTGTGGCTTAGGCTGCTCCATCCTACTTATCGTCACCTGTTCTCTTAGAGGTGTTACGTGGTTTGTTGTGCTGTATAGATGCTGAATTACCTTCACCCTCGGTTCTACGACGTCACGCTGTGTAATGTGGTCTACCATGTGACTTTAGGAGATCGTCCTAAGCTATAGTATAAAAGAAACATCCTGTTCCTTTCTATTCCAAGTTCCCACTAAGGAAATAAGAGTGCTTGCCAGGACGTCAAGTCACTATCTCTTCCGACTGCTAGTATCCTTCCGAGTTATTAGTAGTAGAAGGTGCGAAGGTGTAAAGGTACGACGGCCACTATCTCTATAGCTGCTGCTGCTGCTGGCTTCAGAATGCCCTCGCCGCCGCCAGGTGTTCGGACGAATATCAAGCTGGAAATGGTGAGGGGCAGCGCTAAGGATTTATTCTTGTTCGGCACGAGACCTCATGACGTCTCCTCGGCGATGTAAGGGTGACTGTGATGATTGCCGGCTGGTGCTGGACTGTCATCAGCTGGGCTTAGATATCAAACGTATTTTGCTGCTGGGGTTTAAGAGAGGTACAGCGAGACCCATTTATACTCTTCCTTCTCTTCACCTCATTACTCCCATCTAGCGGGGTGTACACTAGAAACGCACTATAGAGATCTAACAACCACGATTCTTAGCTATATGCTTGTGTAAATAAATGTGTGGAAACGGCGTTGTGCAACACCTAGGGGGGTGCTGGATGAGGGCGACGTGACCTCTCACTCCACATATCGCTATCCGCCGCTGGGCTTCATCGGCGACGTTATCACCCTCATTCCTAACACCAGTCGAGGGCCTATAAGCTTAATCGGTCGAGCACTCCTCTAGTTAAGGGGAAGGTGCGGGTGCGAATCCTGGGAGGGTCGCAACTTTTGCGGCTTTAAGTACCCATATAACCTTTTGCCCTGATCTCGGACTACCAGTCCGTTTCATCACAAGCTTTTCCGTGAGTAGCAAATTACCATTTTGGTCTTTCGTTTCGCTTCTTCTCTGCGTTCTGATCTATTAGAGTGCAGAGACCAACACTTATACTACTTTCACATGGCTCCATCTGAAAAACTTTCTCGTCTGGAGGGTTTGTACTAGACTATTTCGAATAGGGCGCTAATAAAGATGTAACTCGCAACGAGGAGTGCTTACCCTAAGTTCACTTTTTGCTCTTACTTAACTTAGATTAAGTTCTCTGCCCTTCTGCAAGGCACTGCCTAGCTCCGTATTATGGGTATATCTAGGTCTCTCCCATGCCCACCCCTGTTCATCTTCTCCTTCCTCGGCACGATAATCCTGTTGGGGCGATACACGACCACTCACCACAGTGGAGGATATGTTCGTTCTCATGGTGATGGATAGATCGGCAACAGAGGTTAATACAGAGGTCGAATCACGTAGCCTAAGGCGGCTTTCACTGTCGTCCTAGTACTATTCGTATACCTACTAAGCATAGGTATTCTCATTCATCGCAGACGCCTTGTAAGACGAAAGCCTAAGCTAAAGGTATAGGCGACGGCTATAAAAATTACTACAGACCCACTCCCTCCTCCTCCCCTCCTAGACCTTCTCTCTTCACGCAATATCCCAATGATCAATGGCAGATGGGTTATTGGGGCTTTGGTGGGTAACGCCTTTGAGTGGTTACCCAGCGCCTATTGAATTTGCCCCCTCCCCCAAGATAGAAAGCATATACGCATCCTACTCAATGACCATCATCCCCCCTCCCCTTTTATTCGCCTGTTAATTCAAAAGTCTATCGATCCTTGATAACACTCCCGCACTGCTCTGTCCAGATGGCTGTCCTGGCTGTTAAATGTAATACTAACAAAGTCGCCAGGCCGTTCAAAGGCAGATCGTAGTTCTTGGACTGTCTTGAGGAGGTCCTCTTGAGACCGTAGCTGTACATATGTGTTTCAGGGGCTGTTGCGGTTGCTTCTTGAGGTAGCCCAACCCACGTATTAACCAGACGAAGCCTGTATACATATAATCTTAATAGCGATAGTCTATAACTGGGTTGCTAACTAGGGTTGACTTTAGGCGTATCTCTCTCAACAATGGCGTGTTTCGGGTGAGGCTAATATCAGCAACGCACATCTACGTTAGTGGCTCGCATAGTAAGCCAGAAGCTGAAGGGCTGCTCTTTATGTAAACTAGCTACTTGCCGGGCGTGTTCAGGCCGAATAAGCAGCAGTAGTATTACCCAACGACGCTAGACGACGGAGACACCGGATGATGGAGATGCTGAATGGGAAGTGTAACGGAGACGCTGAATAGTAAGTGTAACGGAGACGCAATGCCATCATGACTGAGGAGACTAGGCAGCAGCTCATTGCGAAAAACTTGTCTTAGAGAGATTATAACCACTGAGGATCGATTACCGTTTATATAGTCAGCTATTTGTTCGGCGTATCCTGGCTGAATAAGGATATGTTCGCAGTCGCCGAGATCTAAACTTCACATTTTGTAAGGCAGGTATTTAGATAACACGATAGCTGCGAGATAAGAACCCAAGTCTGGGTGAGGGTTTCCTATGAGAAAACATAATCAGAGCTATTCTCAAAGCCAAGGCTAAGAATAAGTCCTTAGCAGCAGGAACGTCCAGGTACATAACAAACGACGCCGAATGACGCTGGACGACGCCGGGCGAGGGATGCCACTATACAGCCTGAGGCTCTAAACAAGGGGAATCGATTGTGCGTAGTACGGAGGGCTGAATATATACTGGATGACGCTGGGCAGCAGCAACTCTATAAAGCGCTCCGTGATGTTCAGCACTTGTACATCTGTCTGCATGAGTCCCTAGTGATGAATATATAAGGGAGTACTAACCTTGCTTCTCATAGCACAATCTCACCAGGACAAGCACCAATCCATAACCAATTTTCCGCGGGCTTTGAGATAATCCCAAAGCAGCCTAGAGGCGAATCATCGTTCAGGTCACCTATTACATAACTGAAATTGGTTTAAGTAGCTTACGGGTAGGTTTAAATGAGTAAGGTATCTGTTTGAAATAAATGTCAGACGATGCTGGACAACAGAGCTGCTGAATAGGCCTAGGGTCCTGATGTATTATTCTTAATCATTGGTGGTAGAGAGGGGTCTGAATAAACACCGGAAAAATGCTGGGTAATAGAGACGCTATAACACGCTATATGTAGAGGACATCATGACGCAACGGACTAGCTACTGTAGAGGTAGTCGAGATTTTACAGCTACGGTGTAAGCTATCTAAGCGATGCGCTGACTGCGTTTGTGGATAGCCGTAGGAATGTGGGCGATGCCAAGGTGTATTAATAGGTTTGGTAGGTGGTGGCTGCGGTGGTAGTATCTAAACCCGGGGTTAGGTGATATCCTAAAGCACAATAACCTGCAGCTGGCGGTGAGGTGAGATGACCGCCCAATAATGGGACATTCAAATGGGCCCCTGGAGCTCTGGTGTGAGCCCTAGTAGCGCCAAGGTCTGAATAAAGCCCGGGTGATGCTGGACGATGCTAGATCCAATGATAGATAGAGAGCAGCTGCTAAAACTTGGGATTATAGCAGCTAGCGGCTGCCATTTCGGATTTCAGTAACCTGGGTTTAGCATTATAGTCTCAGTTTCTCATATCTCCTCTACTCTCTGCTTATTCTAGTTAATCTCCACTGCAAAACCGACACACCATGCTACCTAGCGTAATCTTAACATACCCCCTATTATACCTCTCGCTCATTGCTTTGCATTCTTGTTAGGCTTGGCTACTCGCCCTGCGGCTTCCTGATCAGGCCCGGGGCTTCCTGCTTCATCTAGGTAATAATAGCGCCTCCCTCATCTTTCCTATTAACCTCTCCTCGCCTACCTACGAGCTTTGTTGAATCAACTGATCTTAGCTTAACTTAAGGCGAGTATACTTCCGGATCGACGGACGCTCTTTATCTGTTCTCTCTCCTTGCTCCTTCCTCTGGTCCTTTCCCTTTACGACGTCTCTCTCCTAACGCTCTATCAATACAACAGCCGTTTTGAATTCAGGCCTGTTCTACAACCCTGACGACTGATTTCCCTCTGCGCAACACCACGTCAGCTTTTACAAATTTATCTCTTTTCTCCAGATCTCGAGATTCTCTCGTATCTGAGAGCATCCTCTGCAGAGGACTATACTCTCGTTCGACCCCTACTATCGCCTCTTAGCCTTCCCGCCTTCCGCGTCTTTGAGCACCACCTGCTTGAGTTTAGAGTTCACACTACCTCTACTGCTTTCCCTCGCCCACCTTGTTCCGCGCTGCACGGCCATCCTCACTCATTCCGCCAGTAGGTTCGTCAATATTCCCTATTTCTACTCTGGCGTCAGCAGCTCTTTCCCCCTCTAACTAAACCTATGCTGCAGACGACTTTTCCTTCCCAATTACCAGCCAGCCCTGGCAAAAAAGACTCATCAAACCTCGGATCACAGCTGCTGCGCCATCCGTTATATTCTTGCATATTTCAAGCTTAATCCGACAAGATGAAGGACCCGGTCGAGCCTCGGAACGTCGAACCTACAGAGCTCGTCGATGCTCCCGACCATATCGTCTACGCAGAGGGGACTAGTGAGCCCCTTAATTTCAGTAACCTCACTATCATTCCTATCAACAAACCACGAGAAGAGATCTTCTTTTTCAAGAGGATGGAAGGAAGTAACGCCAGGTTCGACGCAATGGTTCAGGTGGGCGGTGGGGAACTGCGCCCAGATGCTGAGGAAGCTGGTCTGAAGAGTGCTATCTGGGAAGTTATCGACGGCGTGTACCTGTACCGTCGGGCGGGACTTTCCTTCAAGGTCCTCCAGTCCGTGGGGTCTGCGGAGTACACATCTCCGGAGAGGTCCTTCCACAGAGTCAAGCACATTTTCAGCCTGAAGACGTGCGCTTTACTCGCCAATCGAGATGTTTACGGCGGACTGCAGGTGCTGAAGCTAGCGCTCTCTGGTGATACCTTCGACCTGGCCCGGCCCAAGGATCACGGCCTCGTCGTCCATCACCCCAGATGGATCAAACGTGTGAAGCATATTGCGGATCTCCTGGGCCTGGAGATGGGCTCGCCTTACAGCGGCCACAGCATGATGCCTACCGAAGACGACGTTGCAGACTGGGCTGCGGGTCATGCGGAGAAGAAGTTAGCAGCATATACCATCTACGCCATGCTCAAGTTGTACGTGTTCGGCGATCGCATAATCACGCACGTCAGTATAGCAGATTTGCAGCAGCTCAAGAGCTGTCTCCGGAAGGACGGTCTAGCGCCTCGGTTTGAGATCCACCTCAGCCACAAGCTGTGTGGGGTGCTGCATGAGTCTGGAAAGTGTGTCCCTTTTGTCCAACGGCTGGGATACCTAACTGGTATCGACTTCGCTATATATCATTGGGAAAACGGTGTGATTCTCGATGGAATAGTGCCCGCGCGGACGGGAAAAAAGGAGACGACCAGAGAGGCTTGCGCAGACGGCGGGAGGGAAGACACGGACATAGACGACTATAATTCCGAAGTTGACGATCTCGAGCTCACGCTCGCGGAGAAGTACCCAGACGACTGGGGTGCTATTTTGCGCAGCGGCCTAGACGATGTAGGACCCCAAGGAGCACATCTACCCGGGCACCCGGCGTTCGTGTGAGAGGTGGCCGAGCCTAGCCTGTCTTCTTCGTGACGAGGCTGACTCTCGGCCCCACTCACTCCTTTCTACCTTACATACGCCCAGGGAGGCCATCCGCAAGTCCAGGGATCATAAGGTACCCGCGAGTCTGCTGATGCTGGGAGAGAGGGTTTCTACGCCGCAACAGACAAATCAATTATTACAGGTTGTCTTACGACCCTAGCTTGGTCAGGTTGATAGATCAGCTTCTGAACCTCGCTCGTATGATTGAGGGCTTCATTCATAGGATGCTTGGATTTAGAGACCACATACAGCTGCTTTCCTTACTTCAGGGGTGCGCATCCGTCTTGGGCTACGAATCAGGACTTCATATGTAGCGCCTCTCGTGTTGAAAGGCTAGGTAATTAGGCATGAGGGAAGCTGGGAAGAGCAGCTACTGCTGAGATTGATGAAACTGGCATTTAATCACCATTAGAGGGCAACTCCAGCATTATCAATCTAGTATTAAGCCATGTTTCTCTATCAACTCATAGGGTCCCACTTTATTCATACGTATTGATCACATTCTCTAGTAATCTCTGACTATGATTACCTTGGACACTAAATTAAGCCTATATCGTAGAGACACCCTCACCGCTAACCCTAACAACTACAATTACAAGACGTAACGTAAGGTCGAAATCCGCTTTACAGAGTACCAAAGCACCCTCCCGGGCCTCCCTAAGGGGGCCGCGCTCAAACGGTTGCTAACCCTGAATCTATCATTACTAGAATGCAAGTTAAAGGTCATCTATCGTATCGAATAGCTCTGAATGATATAGGTACTTCGCTACGTCCGAATAGAATAGTATACATACACCACCTAGCTGTATAAATATACTATAGATGTCATCAGTATCCATTGGAGTCGTCTCTTTGCTGTAATACAAGCGGTTCAAAGGGTGCATTCGCGTTGGATAACAGGTAGCCACAGCGAAACAGACGTCGGAGGTCGGAGGTTGGAGGTCGGCCATGATAGGTCTGTAGACTGTTGTCCCCCTTCTTTCCCTATTTTCTTCTTCTTCTTTTTAGGTCCAAAGCACGAGATACGGCCCTACATCGCGCATTATACGACCACCAAGGGATCGCAATCCCATGTACTAGGTAAAAGTATATGTCCTTCCCAATTACTGTTAGGGAAGGTAGGCGAAATAAAATCAACTATCTCTTGTAACGTCTAGATATACTTGACGGACTTGCTTTGTTGTTGAGGCAGGTAAGGTACTCTGCTAGGGATATGCTATGGGCAACGCTGAAGATGGAGCGACGCCAATCAACCTGCTGCTGCTCAAAAGGCCCTTACACTAAGGATAACGAGTGGAACGCGAATCATAACGTCAACAAAACATACATAGGTCTCAAATCGTGCAGCCCTATAACCCGTAATCGTTTTGTTTATTCAAACAGCTTTAGGCCAGGAACTACTAATACATAAGTTGCTGCGACTCCCTGTGAACACCTACGCATGACCCCTGTTCAAGAAACCGAGGCCTGTCCCAGCCGATCTAAGCACCTAACTGGGATTGTGCATAGGGTGTCCACGCTCCCTGTAGTTAGGCGATATCACAATTGGTAGCGTCTAAACTAGTAGGTTTCTAGGCTTCTCAACTGGTTTCTATAGCCTTCTCCCTCTCCCCGATTGCGTGGCTGCATAGGTACTATATGGAGGGATGGTAGAGATACTTTAGCAACCGCGTAAGAGGCTGTAGTTTCAACCGCCAACGTGCGCGGCCTGTTATGTTGCCTCCCAGGCCTGCCTCTACTTGGGACTCTCCCACTCACCTTACGCTTTTCCTGGCGGATGCTTTCGTGACAAAGCCCCGCCTGGTGGTGTTAGTGGGGGCGTCTGGCGATAGCTCGACCGGGTTGTTGATGGAGTCCCCTGGCTGTTTCTGGGGTGTTTTGCTGCCCGTGCTTTGCCTGGCAACCGAGCGCGTGCGATGCCTAGGGGGGGACTGTCTGGTGATGATGGTGGCGGGTGTGTCCTGCTGCGGCTCGGCCGAGTTACTGACGTGTTCCGCTTGCTGTTCTAGCTGTCGTCGAGCCTCCTGAGATCTCCATCTAGGTGTTGCGCCGCCTGTGCTTTTCCTGGCGACCGGGCGTATGTGACGACGCGGAGGGGGGGACTGTCTGGTGATGATGGCGGCGGGTGTGTCCTGCTGCGGCTCGGCCGAGTTACTGATGTGTTCCGCTTGCTGTTCTAGCTGTCGTCGAGCCTCCTGAGATCTCCATCTAGGTGTTGCGCCGCCTGTGCTTTTCCTGGCGACCTGGCGCGTGCGACGACGTGGAGGGGGGGACTGTCTGGTGATGATGGCGGGTACGCCCTGCGATGGCTTGCGTCGGGCGTTGTCACGGGGGGGTTGTGGGCAGTCTGACGGCGCTGCTGCCGCTGCAGAGCTGTTGGTGCCAAGCGCGAGGAAGCTGTCCATAATGCCTATAACCTGCTGCCGGGCGGACTGCATTGCTGCGACGTCTTGGTGGTTGACGAGCTTGAGCACGCTGGCGCAGAACTCCCGGGCGAGAGTGGACACGGTGGTCTGGCGCTTAGTACTCCCGGTTGCGCTGGTCGTAGTCCAAGACGGGCGGATCTGAGCACCATCCCTGTCGGTCGTCTGTCGGACCAGCTTTAGCAGGCGTGCCCATGCCACGTGGTTGAATCGCTGCCCGTACGAGCAACCGTCGTCGTCCCCATCCCCCCCCTCGGCTGTCGCGTCGCCGTCCAGGAGCGGCAGCAGATTCGGCGCCCGGAACTCGGCGAGGTTGTCCCGCACAAAGTCTAGTACGCGTCTCTGGAGCTTGACAGCCGCAAGCGCCGGGAACACGGCGGAGGCCCAGCCCTCGCGCAACGCCAGTGCATCCAGCGCCTTTGACAGATGCTCCCGCAGCAGCGGCTTGTCCTCGAAGGCGAGGCTGGCGTCTGCGACAGCTACAGCATGCTCTGGACTGATCCAGCTGATGACGTGACGCAGCACGCAGACGGCCGTCTTCATCTCCGTCACTTCGCAGTGCAGGATACGCCTCAGGTCGGGGAATGCGAGCGATTGCGAATCCCTGATGGTGTTGTGGATGAGGCTGTAGGCTTCGTCGTCTAGCGTCGCAAGGAAACCGTCCACCCGCGCGCGCGGGGCGCGGGTCGGTTGTTCTCCCTCGGGCGTAAAGAATACATTAGTGACGTTGGGGGCGGCGTCATGGCCCGACAGCTTATCCCAGTCGGCTCGCGTGATGTGGTTTCGCTCGTCCACAGGCAGGTCGGCAAGGGTGCTGAGGACCTCTTCGAGGGCGTCGGCCCAGTACTCGTCGATGCCGAGGCTAGCAATCCACTCAAAGTAGGATATGTCAAAGGTATCTAGGCCTAACCTTGTGCAGCACCACCGAGTAAGGATTGGCCGCCACCTGTGGTTGTTCCACAACGTAACAAGCCTCCTTGTTGGCAAATACATCTCACTGCTGGAGTGGACTTTCTTGACATAGGTCTCATCGACGATAGCGGACCCCCCATCCTGCTGCTCGTTGCTCTGCCGTTGCAGGGAGGTAAACAAGTCAAGCATTAGCCAGGTCTCCCCATGGCTGTTGGGCAGGCTTGGGTCCCGCCTGTTAACGCGTAGCTCGACGTTCAGGTCGTATGGTAGACGGTCTTTAGGTGTGTGCATGTCGCCCGTCAGCCTCTCTCGATGATCCGTCTTTATGGGTTTGGGTTTAGGTTGGGTGACCGGGGGGGGACAATGAGGCTTCCTGCCTGTCCTACCTTTATCGTAGAGCTCGCACGTCCACCATGGCTGGGGACCTGCTGCACCCATCTCCTTAATGTACTCGCGAAGTGCCTGGATCCGGTGCTGGCCGGCCATGACCTCGGCTTTGCCCCCGTTGACCTCTGCCCAGCGTAGGAAGGACATCTTGGGATAGGTGTCGCCTTCGTCATCATCCTCCTCCTCCTTCATATCCTCATCCTGCTCATCCTCCTCAACGTTACCAAATGCTTGCTGCATGCGACTCACTTCATCGGCGCTGCAGAGGACGATGATGCGTTTCTCAGGCGCCCGCCGTTCTAGCCTGCTGCTCCTGAACATGTGCAGTAGCTCCTGGACGTGGGCTGTGTTGATGGAGCGGTTCCTGCCAACGCTCCAGGTCGTGTCAAGCACAGCAATAGGCATCTTTGCAACGGCGAGGAGGTAGGGTCGCGCCCGCTCGCGCGCGGACGAGCTATCTTGGTAGGCGATGCGGCGCTGGTACTCCCTCCTGGCCCGCACGCGCCTCCCGGCCGCTGGTGGTGCCGCTGCGTCCATGTCGTGATTGTCGTCGCTCCCATCCCACTGCCTCTTCTGCTGCGTGCCACGCAGTCCAGTCATTGCGATAACGCGTAGTCTGCAACTGCCGCTGTGTACTTCTCGCTTAGTCCTTGTGTGTACTACTCCTGTGGTCGACGTTGAGTAGGTGAGGGGGCAGGGTAATTAGGCCTGGGGCTAGCTGAGCGGTTGTGATGCGGGGAATGATGGTGATGAAACTTGAAAGAAGAAGTGTTTGTTTGCCTACCAGCAGGTGAAGGGGGGATTGCCCGTAGCAATCTAAAAAGGGAGCGTGCGTAAGTGCCTCCGTACCTTACCTTACCTGAAAATTGATTAACATGAGGTGATCCAATTGAAATTAGGCCTAGTTTGTGGTGGATGCTATGACTGGATCTGATTGGTCTGAGGCTAATTCAGCTGCACTGCTGCGGCAGTTCTCTCTGGAGACGATATGTGATTGGTGCGTGGCAGTGGAGATGGGGACACCTAGCCTATCTGTCATCTAGGTACCTTACCTTAGCAGCCTGGGATGCCACCAGCATAACACACTACCAATAGAATCAATAAAACATAACGTCTTCCTTAATTGTCTCGAGAACGTAAGTCTATACGCCTTAATTAACCCCTAGAGACGTAGAGTAAAAAGGACCCTAACCTTTAACTAACCCTAATCGGCCTGAAAACGTATGTCTGCTCTTTACCTAAAGAAGTACACTGCGGATATCAGTCTGCTTATACGGCCTTCGCTTATAATCTTTATAGCTAGTATGATGAAAGCATGAATTTTCTCCCAGGTCGGCGTGTACGCAATGGGTATGGGTGTGGGTGGTGTAGGCCCCCGCCCTGCTAGGGGCTTGGTTGCTGTTGAGAAGGTGAAGGAGAAGGGCCACGTCTTTGTAGTTACGTAGTATTTCTTCTCTATAGGTAGCTCTGATCCAGGGCATCCTAAATTTCGGGGAGGGTCTTTTTGTTTTGTTTTGTTTTGTTTTGTTTTCTCAATCCCTCAGCGTTTATAGTTATAGTCTTGAATAAGCCTTATGGCCTGTTTGAATTAGGAGTATAGGGTGTCGCAAAGATTCAACAGGTGTACATGACTACCGTATTTTTTGTGAGAAGGTAGCGTAGAGTAAGGTAGCCTGAATTCAAGTGCTGCGAATCGCCTTAAGCTAAGGTACATACGGAGTAGATTAGTGTAGCGCAGGGCTGTATAACGCTGGGACTGGGCTTGAAGCTCAGGCGACGCGACGTGGGTAAGAACGGGGGGCACGCCCTCTTAAGGGAAGCCTTGATATCCTGTCTGAAGACCAGTGTATATAAACGTTAGTGTAGACTGGGGCTGTGGCGATATGCTTGATGGTGGCGAGTTCTAGTCCCTGTGAGAAAAGCAGTGGTGGAAAGGGGGGCTGCAAGCTGGTCGGATGCCCGCACTTCAAGGTATGTGGCTACGAAATATTATGTCTTTAATAGGAAGGTACTCCGACCTGAATTCTAGAAGGACGAGCTTCTTAATAGAGGTTATATCCTCCTCGCCAGAGAGAGGAAATAGGTGTGCTGGTCTGCTGCGCGTACCATAGAAGACAGACGAGTCTTTCTTGCGTACCTACTATCCAGGAGGCACCTGGGCGGGGAGCTTTGTAGGCAGCTTGCTATGCGCCAGCTGCCCTTTGCTAGGCAGGTGTACAACAGGGTTATCTCTGTGCTGTGATAGCTTCCGCTATTAAATCGTTGGATTATTATAGTGTGTTATGCCTTTACGCGGCAACTATGCTACCTGATTAGGTATGCCCTATATCTGGGCCTATTTTGAAATACAGGTTCTGCTTGTGACGGGGGAGATTATGGGAGTGTATGGGAAATGACCTTGATAGAGCGATGCACAGCTCGTTAATATTGTTATTCATACGCCTTGAGATCGACCGGCTGAGGAGATTTGGCCAGGTTCGGGTTACAAATTGTAGTACGCAGGCTTCTAGGAGTCGATAGTATGCGGACGATCTAGGCTCACAGTTCAGCTGGTCTCTGTTAATCAAGCCTAACGTGAAGGTATACGTATCGCTTGCTCACGTAGTACACACCGTCTCAAACCTCCCTCATCCGTCTTCCCTTATAAACGATGTTTCGGGGTTTGCCGCCTGGAGGCGTACGTTTTGGACTGCTGGATCTCCCTTCCCTTACTTGGCTATTTATAGTAGGAGCCTGGATAGGAAAAGAATATAGCTTTTTCGGGGGTCTATCTAATATAACCATATTAGTCTGATTATTTGGGCTTACTGTGGGAAGATATCCGACCTTACCTACCGGCTGGGGCTTCTCATACGTCTGGTGTAAAAGGATGGATAATAAGTGATGGAACCTTGAGCTTAGGCTCTTAAGATAGGAGGATAATTAACGCTTGAAGTTCTGGTGGTATAACAAGCAGCTAGCTTCAAAATCAAATAGATAGTATCAGAGCTATACGACATAGAATGTTAATAGGAAGTAGATTCATTCTACCGTTTTCATTATTTTTCCTTCTTTCCTTTTTTTTTTTCCTTTTCCTTTTTTTTCTCTTCTCTTTTTTTTGTTTTTTCCTTTTTTCTTTTTCTTTTTTTTTTTTGGTATTTTTGGTATCGGACTAGTAGTGACGTAACTGGAGCGCCCAGCACCGAGGGTTGAGAGGACGGTGGGGAATCCAAATAGATTGCCACTATTAAGCATCAATAGATGTTTAGTCAGCCTTGAGTATGCTCATAGAGGTATAGTATCCTACAGCAGCCTAGCTTGGTAATACTGAGTTGTGGTGCAAGGGTCTGTAGGCAGGCTGGTTTGTTCAACCTGGGTATGCAACCGCCGCGGAGGTGTGGCTAACAAGAATGGCAACGCTAACACAGACGCAAACAAAAACATACACGCAAACAAAAACACAAACGCAAGCAAATCACCAACAAAAACACCAGCAAAAACACCAACAGACACACCGAAAGAAGTCCCCCCCTCAAAAAAGAAAAAAAGAAAAAAAAGAAAAACACCGGCAGCAAAGGCAACAGCAAAGGCAACAGCAAAAGCGACAGCAACAGCGACAGCAAAAGCAACAGCAAATGCAGTACACACATCACTACCCACAAAACGAAGGCTACCATGATTCCCAACCATCTATCTTCATCTTACCGCCAGTATAAGCATGATACAACGGTTGTGTTTAATTGGCTTCTCCAGACTGCGAGGGACCAGGAGTGGCTGGTGGGGAGGCAGGAGCTACCACTTCTAGTAACAGACTACGTCTACATTGCTGAGGAATGTGTCGCAGCCGGTATCCAGATGCCTGAAGTGGAGAGGAGGCTACTCAGCTACTCGCTAAGTACGCGCCGGAAGTGCTCGCAGTGGTTCCAGTCGCAGGCGAACACCAACTCCGAGTGGAAGACGTCGGATATCAAACATGCCTACTTTACTGACCAAATCGAACGGATCCTGGCTTGTTTCCCAACAGCAGCCTCGGATATGCTAGAACGCCCAACCGAGGGTCCGGCATGGTCTACCAAACTTGGATACAACGCTCGTGGACAAAGCCTGGGTCTTGACAGCAACGATAGCGACGACGATGACGACAGCGATGATGACAACAACTTCAGGGATAGCGATGATAGCTGCAACAGCATTGACAAGTCTGACTCCACCAGTGACTCAGGCTTGACGCTGCCCGGAGACGACATGGTCGACAGAACGGACGATGAGGATATGGCGATGATGCCAATCGAGGATAACGGCGTTGTGGAGATCTTCTGCCTTCTCAATGATGCGAAGCGTCTGCGGGACTACCTGCGAGGCGTGTGGGCTCGGTATGAGGCGCGTGCCACGGACGCCATCACGGCAAGCGTTGTGACGCAGGCGGCCTTTACAGCGTTTGCGAAGATTGAGACGGACTTCGCTAGGCGCTTCTCCCACCTCCAGTTCATCGGCCTCCAGATTGGGGCCATCTATGTGGACGCAGCCCTCGGGGAGACTTCCTACTACACGTGCAAGGTTCCGCGGGACATGCCGCATCACGAGGGGAAGCCCACGTTAATCGATCCGGAGGGCTCCATGGGATGGTTCCAGAAGGACCTGGCATTACGCATGGAGGCTTCAGGGTGGGAGCCTACACAAGAGATGGAGGAGTGGACGTTTCGCCCAACGTCCGTTATGTTGGAGAAGATGGCTGAGCTTACCAGGGCTGGGGTGGGCATCGACGACGAGGCCGAGCAGCGGCGGTTCCTCACGCCGAAGTACGAGGATTGCCTTCAGGACTTGCGTCGGCTCCGCCGGCTTCATGCGGCAGGGCCCTCAGGCAAGGGGGACTGCTTTCCGGCCCTCGATCTGCTCGCGCGTGCGTTCTGCGGCCGGGAGATTATACCCGGTGGTATACGGCTTTCGCTCGCCTTCATGTGTCGTGTTTTCCTCGATATTCCAGAAGGTCTGATGGTTCCTGTCGATGAGAGGCGGGCGGCGGAGGGTCATATCACAAAACATAAAAAGTATGAGGGTTTCTACGACTTACACCTTCCGGCGCGCTGGCCTAAGGACATGGCGAGGGACGTTAGCCCTAGAACGTACGGGCTTAATCTCGTGTGGACGCTTCACCAAGTGGCCCAGCTTCGCGGCCAGTGTTGTAGTCTCGACTGGCGCCTAATCGACCAGGCACACCTCTACAATGCTCTGAGGGTGACCTACCCAAAGACCCCAGCATGGCCGGACATGGACGTGGTGATCAGGTTACAGAAGAATGCCATTTTCGCCGGCGAACCACCAAGGACCAGCAGCGCTTGCAGGATGCGACACTGCGTTGCCCGGGGGTGGAAGCTTAGCGACCTGGCAAAGTCCCACCCAGATAAGGTACCATTGGGGAACGCCGACGGCCCACGGACGGCCTTAGCTGCGAGCGTCAGGGGTCCTAAGATGAGGCCAAGGGCTGAGATGGACGCCGAATGGCTGCGTGACCGCAACACTTCAGGGCGGCGACGCGAGCTCGTGCTCGCGCCTTTCCTGACAGGCCTGTTGCGTCAAAGGCAGGCGACTAGCCTCTGGCAGCCGGCGCTGGACTGCAGGCT